ATCTATTTCTTGGTCTGCTTTCTGCCACGCGAAAGTCTGTGTGTGTGTGTGTGTGTGTGTGTGTGTGTGTGTGTCTGATCTATCTCTTACGACATTTTGGCTTCATCATACCCAGCCAGGAAATCTTCACCCCAAGCTAACAGAAAAATGTTCATTAACTTTCTGTTAACTCTTCCTACATACTTTTTAAACTTTAAATTCATAATAATCTGGAATTTACTTTGCTGTGTGGTAAGAAAAAATATCAACCTTTGTAAAGGGATGGCCAATTATTTTAAATACTAAGTAAACAATCCTTTACCACTACTTTGAAATGCCACCTTTAACATATGTGTACATACATATGCATATCATGTCTGCTTTTATAATGGCTAATCAGTTCAAATGACCTTCCTGTCTAGTCCCATAAGAACGCCATACTGTTTTAAGTACTGTGGTTTACATAATAGTTCGTCATAGTATTTCCCTTTTAAATAGTTTTGTACTCCCTTTGTTCTTTAAAATCAATTTCCTTGAACTTTACAAACAAAAAATTAAAGCTATGAATTTTCTACAACCCATACGTATTAACATGTAATGTCCTCAAGTTCTCTGATTTTCCCGTGCGGTCTCATTAGTCATCCATTTCCGGAATGACGGGTTATCTGAAAGCGTTATTGTATTTCTTAGTCCAAGGCTGTCCGTCTACAAATGAATCTGTACAGAAAATCAAATCTGTTATGTTCTTCAAATCCTCTATATTCTTTCTTCTTCTACTAAATATCACAATTTTGGGGAAGGTGTGTTCTAACGTTACCTACTGTGGATATGGTTTTGTTACATTTTCTTCTACTTATGACAGTTTGAGACGAGTATGTCTTTGTGCTCTGCTATTCGAGGTAAGAGATCCTAACCTAATTGTCAGAATTCTTCCCAGGTACTATGTCTTTCCCCCAGGTAGTGCATCATCCCGGGAAGGTCTGCCATCCTTTTCATTGCATTAGTACTGTCCACTGGGGCTTGGTTTACTCCTTCATTTTCGTTCCGTATTAGCATTCTTCTTCTAAACAGGATATACTATATTTCTAGTACAATCCTGGCTGAGTACATGGCTTTCATTAAGAGAAGCTACCCCCTTAAGGTTATGCAACAACTATGTTCAGACTTATTACCAATATACCGTAAGATTTCTTTTTACTATACTCATAGCTCATTCATTTGTTCCCATGCCTGAATAAAGTGGTTTTTTGGTTTCTATTTTAAAGACACTTTTAATATGGCATTTCACAAGTCATGAATATTTTGTGTATTTGCCAAACTATCTAACTCTTCAGTTTTTTACCCTATTGTTATGCAAGTAAATAGGAAATGACTAAAACTCTTTTTTTGTATCTGCTTAAACAAAAACCATCACAAAATATACTCCATTTATGGAAGCAGCAAAAAGTCACCTTAAAATGAGCCCACTTAGGACGTTAATAAACCCACGTAGCAGCTCGTATGAGCCAGAAAGGGCAGGACAGTAACTTCGTACATAATTTATAAGAAGTGAGTTCAATTTATCTTTTGAACATCTCTGCATCCTGCAAAAGACAAAGCTCTTACCGTTTCTTTTGGAATCTGCATCTGGCTTGGCTCTGCATTCTAGAAGAATTGAAGAAAAAGATAAATACAGACTGACCAAAGCCATCTTCAACACACAGGGACACGCTGCTTTATTCTAAAGGGGACTGGGATGCTTCTAAAACTCCACGAAACATATAAAGAGTAATGATATTATGGCTGATGTGTCACTTTGTGTTTCAAACTCTGAAGTTACATGTTCATTATGTGTTTTAAGAAATCTTTCTACATATAAATTTTTATTTCCTCATCCACAGTCCATCATGAATTTATTACTAGAGGCAAAGAAATCTCACCAAGTTGCTTTCCTAATCTTGGCACTGTTTTCTAATTCTGTGTTTTAATTTTCCCAACGCAATCTAAGTTTTAAAATACAGGATCATTTGATAGCTCTAACAGAAAATAACAGTTGAACCACGTTCTGGACCACAAGCTTTAAAATACTACATAGGGAATAAACGTGTTTATTTTATTTTATTTTTTTTTTTGCCATACAATATAGAGTTGCTTTAATCACCTAGATGCTTATAAGGCTGATGCACTTTTAAAAGGAAGGTATCGGGGGACCAGCAGTTAGCATAATGGCTATGTCGCTGGACTCCCATGTAGTCGACCACAGTTCGCATCCCGAACCCGGTGGCTTAAAACTCACACCGGGTGCGTGTGCGTATGTGCCCAAGATCCCGAGAGGAGAACAGAGGAGAAGGGATTACGGCGTGGCCATCCCCCTGGGCTAGGGGTGATTTCTCTCTTTCTGTCTCTCTGTCTCTCTCTGTCTGTCTGGCGAGCGCACGCACCCTATGGCAAAATCCTCTGCAAAAAAAAAAAAAAAAAGGAAGGTATCAGTAAGGATATGTCCACTTACAAGCACAGAAATTAAACAGAGACACAGTCAACGGAGAAAAAGGGTTATATTAATTGAATTCAAAGAGCATTTTTGTACGTCCTCCTTTAAGTTTTCAGGATTTTATCCTTTTAAATCTTGAAAAGCAGCTGCAACACGCATAATAGACTGACGGCCGACTGGCTCACTCTTTAATGAAAAGCTCACAAGCAATAAATTAAATAAGCAAGGGGGGAAAAAAAGAAGGCAGCAGAAGGGGAAAACAGAAGCCTGGAAGACCAAAATTGGACAGGAAGAACCTGAATAACCTTAAGCTGGCTCCTCGTTGGCACTAACTCCGGAAAAGGCTGCTTCCGAGCGGCATTCAGGCCTGGCAATCTAATAGCGCTCGCCATCGGCTCCGATGCGCGGAGCAGGAGTTACAGCTTCATCAAATCACGTCAAAAGCCTTGGTTGTTTTATTTTTTTTTAAGCGCTCATTTACAATTTAATAGAGACATCTCCAGATTTAGGATCAGGTGGCATTTTAAGCACAAAATTGGATAACAGTGGGGGGAAAACAGAAAACTGAATATAAATGGAGAAATATGGAATGCATTACACATTTTTAAATATAGAGACGTTTTCATAATATAGTCACAATCTACTTAAAACAAAAGTGTTCTCATCTCACCACTACTGTGATCCGAAATCCCACAGACGCACACTAAGGTTTATGTCTGTGCACAACCAGGAGACGGAGATGGGGCACTTACAACAGGAACCTCTCTCCATTCATGACCGGTATTTAAAAATAGATCAATTCGCACAGAGAATAAATGTTTATAAGAAAAGGAAAATGTTGTTAGTCATGACACATCCCTACTTGAAGCATTATAACCTAAGAAAATTAGGGCTATATAGCAAATTTGGGAGCTGCGGCCCCAAAGCCACTCCAGTACATGGGGATGAACTGTTGTGTAGATACAGCTAAAAGCTGCCTGAGAGAGATGTCAACCTGAGATGACTCAAAATCCCACGAGTACTTGAAATAAAACTATTTCTCACTACATGAAAAGATAATGGTGGGGGTCAGCAGATAGCATAGTGGTTAATGTGCAGGACTAACACAGAGACGACCATGGTTCAAGTCCTGGAACTGACAACTTGAAAATCACTCCTGGTGTGTGTGCATGTGCACCCAAAATCCTAGGAGGAGAATGGACGCAAGGGAATCGCAGCACACCCATCCCTACAGCAGGTGATTTCTCACCTTCCCTCTCATTGTCTCTCTCTTTCTCTCTCTGTCTCTCGTCAGCGAGTACATGCTTCCTTTGGCAAAAATCAAAAAAGATAAAGGTGACTCCTTCACTTAGGTCATTTTAATACATAAATGAAACCTAGCACTTTCTATGAGAATGTTCAGAAGGTCAGAAATTTAGAATAGCTCTTTCATCCACACCCATACCATATAAACGCCCTGCCTGATAATTAGACGCGCTAATGCACGTGGGAAGTGAAGTCCGAGGTCGCTGACAGGTGCCTCCTTTCACGTGTGCCAGTCCAGCCGGCGTGGCCTACAGGCGTGATGGGCAGCCCTGGGGCCTAGTGCCCCTTAGGCCTTTTTATGTTCAGCAATAATTTTTTTAAAGGCACTCCTTTTCATGCAACAGCAAACAAGCATCGTTATTTGGCTGAGCTACGTGTATGATGAAAATTAAAATATGAAAATGTGTCATATGTAGCGGTGAGGATGACAGGCTTTCAGCAACAGACTCGGGAGTGACAGCTAGGAAATAATTGACGTCTCCGCAGTCAATCAGTTCATCTGAGAGTACAGGGACAAGCACTGGCGTCCTGGAAAATAGCCCTCCGACCGCATATTTGATTATCCACTTCTACCACGAAGAGATGTGAGAAGAACGCCTGCACTGAGTGAGGGCGGAAGAAACACAACACAGATGCCCCACAGACAGCGTCACATCGACACCTGCCGGCGGGAGGCTAGCCCAGCCCTCGGGCTCCAGTACGGAACCTTCCATCTGCACCAAATGGACGTACCAGTTCCCTTGGGTGGAAAGCATCTTCCTGGCGGAAGACCAGAAGGCTCACAGTCCCTTCCATCTTGGTGCTTCTCAACAGGGAAACAACTTCCTCTTGGGATTTGCCGGCCAGATCTACTCCATTTACCTGAAACAAATAAAAAGAGTTTTCAGCGGCAATCCTGTCCAAGAGACAACAGAGACACTCCCTGGAGGGCAGAGTCAGCTGCAACCCAAGTCGCCCCATGAGCAGCTCCACCATGGCCTGGGAACCGCCGAGCTTTTGTGCCTGATAACGGAACTCGGGCCGACACTTCCAAATAGGGTTGGCCGCTGTAAATCTTTTAGAGTTCACCAATAAACCCAGAGCTACTTCTACCACCAGGGTATTAATAAGCAACCGATAATAAACAACCAGATGTACAATGCCAAGTGAACACAAAACTTCCTGGCTGAGAATGGAGATATTCTGATGGTCTTGTTGAGCATGTGTTTTGTTACAAAAGAGTAAAACAGTGTTGGTCTTCTAAGCGGTAGTAAACACACGCAAAATATCTTAGTAGATATATTAGTACTTTCAGTGAAATTGCACTAAAAATTATGAAGAAAACTTTTTATCCCTAAAAGGTAAAAATTAAAAATGAAAGAATGAATATCAAACAATGGTAACGTATTCTGGAGAATAAGCAACACTCCATCTCTATTTTCTTTGTCTTTTTCGATGTTGTAAAATTTCTAGCAGGAAGAAGAGATTTGCGATAACCCATTCTTAAGGAATCTCATTATTTCTGTCTCTCATGAAGCACTGCATTGCTATCAGGAAGCACTACAGTACATTAACAGACCTGAGAGGGTAAGATTTTGTTAAAGAAACATTCTATGGCTGGCCCCATTGCCTAGTGGTTAAGGGAAAAGGAGCCTGCATAGTTGACTGTGGTTCGAATCCTGGCTCTGGCAGCTTGAAAAACACGCATGTGCGTGTGCCTGCATGAGAAGGATCCTGATAGATGGAGAAGTGGAGGAAAGGCTGAGGAATGTCCACGACCCATTAGGGGGTGCTTCCCCCTCTCATTCCCTGGCCCTCTCTGGCTAGGGCACTTCCTATAGCAAAAGAAAAAAAAGGAGGGGTGGGGAGGTGGGGGTGGTTTCTATAGTATTTTCTTAAAATGAAAACAACACTTTGTCCAAGACAAGTAAGCATGTTACATAACTGTAATACTAAAATTTTCCTGTGTTAAAATATGTCTTAGGTGCCAGCAGATGGCGTGGAGTTTACATCCCTTGACACCCACATAATTGAACACGGTTGGAGTCCTGGACCCAGTGGCTTGAAACTCACACCAGGTGTGTGTGCATTCATGCCCAGGATCCCAGGAAGAGAATGGAGGAGAAGGGATTGCAGTATGGCTTACCCCCTGGGGAGTTCTCACTTTCCCTGTGTGTACATGCGTGTCTGTGTGACTGTCTGTCTGTCTCTCTCTAGAGAATGCATGTGTCCTAAAGCAAAAACGTCAAAAAACAAAAAATATACATCTATATGCCTTAGAACCTTTCCCCCTGCTAGGACAGTCTCACACAGTGTGACACACTGTCCAGGGACCGGAGGGATACACAACAATAGGTTCGAGGAACAGAAGTTCTCGACAATGAAAAAATAATTAAACGATTAAAATCAAGAAAGAAAAAAATAAGTCATTCAGTACTTTCTACAGCATGATTTCAAATACTCAGATAGTCAGAACTGTCCACAGAACTGCAAAATATTGACTACAGCTATTACAATACTGTGCTTTAAACATAAAAAAGAAAGTATTCATTTTAAGGTAAAGTTGACAATTACAGAGAAAGAAAAAAAAAGCCAAATTGAAGAAAGACAGGTTACAGGCTATTCCTACTTTTTTTTTCTTTTATAAAAAATATTAATTTATTTAATTTTATTTATTATTATTACTTTAATTTGCTATGAGACACATGTGCTCTCACCACACAAACACAGAGAGAGAGAGAGAGAGAGAAAGTAAGCTGCCAGATCCAGGACTCGAACCATGGTCACCCATGTAGGAGTCTAATGCCTTAACCACCACACCACCTGCTAGCCCCATCAGTCCTAGTTTTAAAGAGAAAAACAAAAGTCTCTGTGATATGTTAAAAGTAAAGCAATGGTGTGTTGAAGGAGACCCTCAAAACATAGTGAATACCCCGGAAAGGAAGGAAAGAAGGAAGAGGGGCAAGAGGGCAGGCAGGGAGGGAAGGAGCCCCTAGTTCTGGGAATTAGAAACCAGGAAGACCAAGACTTTTACCAAACAAACAGGGTACAATTACAAATTTGGACAAGTAAACTCGCCCTCCCCCCAGGGACCAGGGGCTCTCCTGAACTACACCCTAACTTGAACCACACTCACACCCTTCCTGTTATTTCCCCTCTAACAGTGCCCATTTGAAAAATGTCACATGCACAAAATAAAAAGGAAAGGAGCAAGAGTTAAGAGATCTGGGACAAAAATGTAGAGCTGGGAAAACATGGAAACTATTCTTTTGCTGTGCTGTCTCAAGAAACCTTCAAAGAGCTCAATCAGAAGAAATCAAAACTAAGGATGAAACAAGAGAAAAGGGAAAAAAATCACTTCAACATCATTATTTGAGTACTAGTAAACAATCAGAAAACCAAATAACTGCTAAGAGGAACACAGGTTGCATTTTCTTTCTTTCTTTCTTTCTTTTTTTTTAAGGTTTTTGCCACAGGACATGTGCGCTGGTCTGAGAGACACAGAGAGAGATGGTGAGAGGGAAAATGAGAAATCAACCCCCAGGGGAATGGCCATGCCACAGTCCTGCTCCTCCATTCTCCTAGCGGTGTGGTGATTTCTCCATTCAATCTGGGGGAGGAGGGATATTTCTCGCTTTCTGTGTCTCTGTCTCTCCAGTGAGCACACAAGCCCTATAGCAAAAATCTCTCAGGATGGGGGGGGAAGAAAAGCAAGAAAGAAAATGAAACTTTTCAAGAAGGACACATTCCTTAGAGAAGTCACTCACCTCTATGAGTCTGTCTCCTGCCTTGAGTCGGCCATCTTGGATGGCAGCCCCTCGGGGAAGAATGTTTTTCACGTAAATTGGAGCAGAGCCCCCTATTGTCACATCTCGAGAAGTGATGCTGAATCCCAAACCTTCTGTACCTAAACACAGAACAGACAAACGTGAAGAAATAAATGACATGTCATGAGCTGTATAAGGACTCGCTACTATTCTCCACAAACTGACATTCTGTACTTTCCCAGTGGGTACTCTCATCCTAATGCTTTAAAAGTTGGTACGTAGCTTCCAAAACAAGAGTCTTCAGGAAGTTCACATAAAATGAGTATGATGAAAAACTTGTGCACCACTTTAAAAATATTTTTACTCCAAAATAAATCCATACTTTAATTCCATTTTTACATGAACTTTTTAAAGTTCCCCCGCAGACTAAATTACAGAAGGTTGAAATGGTTTATGGATCAAGTCCTTTATCTAAGAAGAAATGGCAATCTTCTCAAAGAAAGATTAAAAGTAATATGCAAACATGCCTGCTAAGAGTTTCTCAATCAGCGTAAGTCTTGGAGTATGAAATTACCATAATTTCAATACATAAAGAACGGAAAAAACTGTGAAGACCCACATGACCTCAAAAATCAAGTATTACTGTGCAAAATGGTACCTAGAATGGAAGGGTAGACAGTGGGGCCAAGGGTGGGAAAAACCTCCAGGGAGATGGAAGAGGAATACTCAATTGAGAATTTGATTCAGATAATATGGTTTTGGGACTGCCCCAAACCATAGTTACCCAAAGAATTGAAGAGGACGACGAACCATATTACTTTTACCTAAGTATCTTCTAATTCACATCATCTTACCCTACTATTGGGTCGTTGGGGGAGTCATAAGAAAAACACACAGAAATACGTCACGACTTTCCCGACAACCTCATACGTCTCAAAGTAAATAAGTAAATAAAAAGGCAAAATAGTAAAGAATCCATCTCAGATTCAGGCTCCCAAATCTGAGGATCATCCTGTTATTTTTATGGGGACTGAAATTAATGAGGCAAATATAAATTACTCTGTGCATTTATAGTTTAAATTCTCAGTTCTTGGGCAGCTCTCTTGACAAGCAGCCTCATGAGTACAATACGGTGCAGATGGGGTTACCCGTCACAAGAACCAACACGCACTAAGCCAAACGCGCCAGAGAGAGATGTGGAGGTGAGGAAAGCGCTATCGTCACCCGCAGACTTCTTACAGAACACTCGTAATGATGGCTGCATTCTCCCTAGGCTTTTTCAAACTGTTACTTCTCAAGAGGGCAGGTGAGGGACCAGCACTTAGCATAATGGCTATGTCACTGGACTCCCACGTAGTTGACCGTGGTTTGAGTCCCGGACCCGGTGGCTTAAAACTCATGCCGGGCGCGTGTGCGTGCGTGCCCAAGATCCCGAGAGGAGAATGGAGGAGAAGGAACTGCGGCATGGCCATCCCCCCTGGGGGGTGATTTCTCGCTTTCTGTCTCTATGTCTCTCTCTGTCTGTCTGGTGAGCGCAAGCATCCTATAGCGAAAACCTCTACAAAAAAAAAAAAAAAAACTCTCCAAAAAAAAAAAAAAAAACTCATGCCGGGCACGTGTGCGTGCATGCCCAAGATCACGAGAGGAAAATGGAGAAGAGATTGCAGCATGGTCATCCCCCCAGGGGGGTGAATTCTTGCTTTCTAGCTCTGTCTCTCTCTGTCTGTCTGGCGAGCACACGCGCCCTCTAGCAAGAGGGCAGGCAGGTGGCACAGTGGTGAGATGGACACGCTGGGAGGACAACCAGGCTCAGGTCCAGGGCTCATGCCTAGAGACCTTCCTAAGTACACCAGGCAGGCAACACATGCACCGACAACCCAGCAACAGCTGAGGCTGGGGGTGCGTCACATCAAAACCCTGCTGGGGTGCTGCCGTCTATCTCATGCATGGAAAAAAGTACATGAACTTCAAAAATAAAGTCACTACTTAAAATGTTAGATTCAACATCAGTTACAGTAATAGTAGGGCAAATATTTGCTTAGTATGAGAAGAATAAAGAGTGTTTGCATATGCTGAAAAATCTAGCGAATGCACTAATTTGATCTAGCACTCAGTAAAATAATTTATAGAAAAGTGTAAAATAGGGGCCAGTAGGTGGCATGGAGGTTAAGGTGGCTGGATCCCACATGGCTGACTGTGTAGTTCAAGTTCCAGACCCAGTGGCTTGAAAAGCACACTGGGCATGTGTACATGCGTATCCAAAATCCCAAGAAGAGCATAGTGGAAGAGGGACTGAGGTGTGGTCATTACCCCGATGGGGGGCTATTTCTCACTTTCCCTCTCTAGGTCTCTCTCTGGTGAGTGCACGCACCTTAAGGCAAAAATCCTAAAAAAGGAGAAAAAAAAAAAAAGAAAATTCTGTAGTGAAGAATACATTCAATAATTATACCTGTAACAAAGCTACCATAAATATAATCAAGTTCAAAGAAAACATTCATTTACTCCTACTCTGAAGCAATCTGAATGTGCCTAGGCTGTTCATTTCTTAGGTCTTCAGTGTTGAAGACTTTGAATGGCATATTGTCTATATGAGATTTCCCTAATTACTCTGCTGGGACTTTTCCATATGTCTCTGTGCTTTCATGAAACTCTAATGACTTGCAATAACAGGTATTAAGAAAGAATTCTAAATTATTCTCCTTTTGCAATATTAATTTGTATAAAACTACAAAGCCTGACTGTTACAGGAACTTCAACACTATTAAAATATCAGCAATAACCCCTAAATCTGTAAGCTAAAAGTTCAGGCTATGACCTTTAACGGAAAGATAAACAGATATCAATTTTCATTTAGCAAAGCCAACAAAACATTCTGCCCTGACTGAGACAGATTACTGACCTTCTCCTCTGACTTTATTAAAAAGCTAATTTCTACAAAAGAACAGGGTACTTGAGAATGCCAAAATGGCAATAAATATTAAGAAATCATAATTATGAAAGCAAGTACACTGGGGCTATCCTGTCATGTGCTATGACAAGGTTTCAAAGTCAGAGCGCAGAATCGTCATCCTACAGGCTTGTTGTTTCAGTACGAAGAGTCTCTCTCAATAGTTCTGAAGCATTTCTGCTACTCAAAGCAAGTTAGTTCACTTTGAACTTACAGTGTAACACTGAGGTGCCCGGCGCTTTTAATGTACTTTATTAAAATATCTTAAAAGTAACGATAGTTTATAAAATCATGCTGGGTGCAAGTGCATGCAGGCCCAAAATCCTGCAAGGAAAGAGGTGGAAGAAAAGGGATTGTGGTGAGGCCATTCCCCCATTGGGGGGGGTGTACTCTCTTCTTCCTCTCCCTCTCTTAGTGGTGAACACACACATGCCTTCCCGTACCCCCTCCCCCAAAAAAAAACTTCTGTGTTTGGTCCTAAATGGAAAACAATCTGCATTCTTCTTCACTCTGAACAGAATTAATTTTTTATATAAAACGCCTGCAATCTGGCAGCACACACAGGTGGAGTGCACTTTTTGTATTACACTCTCACAACAATTTAGCATCAAGACAGATCTATGGGCTCTGTATCCTTTCAATCACTCATGGTCAGAAAAATATTGAAAGAAAGGGTTAACGTAATGGCTATGTTGCTGGACTCCCATGTAGTCGACCACGGTTTGCATCCCGGACCCGGTGGCTTAAAACTCACTCCAGGCGCATGTGCGTGCGTGCCCAAGATCCCGAGAGGAGAATGGAGGAGAGGGGATTACGGTGTGGCCATCCCCTCTGGGGGGTGATTTCTCGCTTTCTGTCTCCCTCTGTCTGTCTGGCGAGTGCACGTGCCCGACAGCGAAAATCTCGGGGCAGGGGTCGGAGATTTAAAGGAAAATATCATCAGGCCAGCAGGGCCACAGTGTTTGAGGCACTAGACTACTACACACCCACCACGATTCAAGTCCCAGACCTGGTAGCTTTCTTGCTTGCTTGCTAGCTTGCCCTCTCTCTCTTTCTCTCTCTCCCGTGTATATCTAGACTAACAAAGTTAAAATATAAAAATAATAAAGTTAATAAGTACATTTTTTAAAGTTTTAAAAATATCATTTATATTTGTCTTACAGTGATTAAGCACGTTCTTTCTAAATGAGCTTGTGCAAAGGCAATCACACCTTTCTAAACACTATTAATATAAAACTGCTGCGAGTCAGCAGGTGGTGTGGTGGTTTAGGCACTAGACTTCCCACATGGCCGACCATAGTTCGCGTTTTGGACCTGGTGATTTGCTTTCTCACTCTACCTTTCCCTCTCTCTCTGTCTTTCTCTGGCAAACTTATGTGAAAAAATAATCATTAATAAATAAATAATTCTTTTTAAAATTTTTAAAAATATAAAACTGCTAACTCCTATATTCAAAAGAATAGCTTTATATTAACGACAAAATTTCCTTTCATGAAAAAGTTCATATTAGATCAACATTTGTTGACTATATTGTGTGAAAACTAAATTAAATACATAAATATCCCTATAGCAATGTAAAAAGGACAAGATACTTTATGACAATGGCCAATAAAAATATTATATCCTTCTTGAGAGATCCCAAGTAGAATTTTATTTTTTATACAACTCTTTTTATGATTCTTAGGATATATTTTTGCTTAAAAAAATAGAGCCTGTACTTGAGCAGAGAAAAAGGAGGACAGAGGCCCTAGCATTTTTCTCACTTAGGAGTTGATGCAGCTAGAGGGGGTTTCTGCTGAGAGGGCCTCTGGATTCCAAGGGAAGAGGCAACCTGTCAACTCCTGATCATGTCAACCAAGTATTTAGAGCTTAAAAACCAGTAACCAGAAATAAAGAACATGCAGTTCACACAAAGTTCAGGGGAAAGCTATGACCGGGAAAGGAAACAGCAGTGCCAGCGTTTACAGCCATGTAAACACCGCCACAGAGAGACGAACCATCTGAACGTCGGGAGGGAAGACGTTCTACGGAGAACCTGCCGCCACAGCGACTCGGGGACGTCACCAAACCCCTCTTGGATTCATTTCCTTCTGACTGTTGAAGGTGGCTGGGCTCATGAAGAGAGAAATACTCTTTAGGATGACACCTTTTTTTTTTTTTTTTTGGAGAGGTTTTC